TTTGATCGAAAATTGTAAATATATTGGTGCACTCTTCGCGGTTTGTTTTACAAATTTAGTATATTAGTGTTGCGAAAGAGAAAAGATCCACTCACGGTTTGTTCGGGTTTATATCGAGTGGATGAATTTCATAGCCCTTCTGGCTATTTTTTCCTTCTTTTCAGCATCTCCAGGTAAACGGAACATTTGTTATTGAAAATATTATTGAAAATATATATCAAATTATTATAGCAAGAATTTATTATGATTCGCATAAATTATAATTAGAAAATTTTTAATTTTCAAAATTATAAAAAATTATGAATTACTTAACAACATTTTGATAATTTGTTCTTTTCAAGACGTAAGGGTTCCTTTTTTTTTCTTAAATTATTGATTCTTTTAATTATTAGTCTGATAATTAAGTTTTTTACAGGTGTGAATTAAAGGGGATGAATAAAAGAAAAGGCATTTGATCTTCATTTGATGTAAACTAATTATCTGTTATTGAATCGTTTTAGATTTTATTTTTAGATTTAGTCTTCCCCGTCGGTTTTCCTTACGAAACGTAGAAATTATATTAAAGGGCATAAGAAACGTTTTTATTTCTTGAAAATCGGTATTTCAGGGTATATGTCGGTAAGAAATGTCGCATCTGGTCTGTTCCTCGTCTCTACTCAGAGGATAAGTAGTTCGAAAAATATAGTTCCGCGACAACTAATCCGGTTTCATATGATAATAAATATACTCTTATCATCATCCTCGCTCGTACGTTACCGACACTTGGTAAAATCGTAACTTGCTCGATTGAGCGAGTGGTGTCGCTGTAAAAGAACGATCAGGCGCAGGAGCCAAGGGCACGGTTGTCCTAACGGGTTGCCTGTCGGCAGGAGTTTAGTCGGTGCCGGTCCCGAAACGCGTTCACGTCTGGACATTATACGGGACACGATATTTAAAATGGCAATAGACATGTACATTTGATAGGACTGTCGATTCGAGGGGATTACCGACTCGGTTCAACCAGAACAATACGGCATAATGAGCGGCTGACGAGGTGTAATAACGACGCGATATGAACGGATAGTCGAGGGACCGGTGTTTTTTGCCAGTTTATCCCTTGAAATTCCAAAACGAGCCAATTTCGGAAGGGGTGGGGGGGGATATCGTGTGATATCGTTTTCCGTTCAATCAACTTCTTGTTAGTTTTCCGCGCGAGATAGACGTGGTGTGTGGTCAGTCAGGCATTCTAATGGCACGCCCGTGACCAATGATATCCCAGGATAAAGGTAAGCGATATCTTCGCCGCGTCGCCTTCCTTTTCACGCCACTCTTGCACGACGCGCGGATCGTTGTCGCGTATCGGTGACAAATTTTGATCGAATTGTACCCTTTGCAGAGATGGATTGCAATCGATCGTAAGACCGGAAACATTTCGATGTTGAGATATTATAGATAAATTAAAATTTTATTTTAAACAGAAAGTGAACTTCCTTGTGAAAGTTTTATTTGTGAAAAATTTAACACGTTAGTAGTTTTTAATAGTGATTTCTTAAATTTTTGTTTCGATATTTCTAAAAATGAATTGGCATTCATTTTGGAGAGGAATTGGAGAAGATTGAGAGGCAAAATTAACAGATATATTTTAATATATATCTTTTTACTGTTCCACAAGTTAGAGTCTCGTTTTACTTTCCAAATATTGCGAGTGTGATTTTCTCATCATATCCATAAATCGAAAATCGAATATTTAAATTTTGTTAAATTTTGTAGAAATGTAAGAGTTACGAGCTCGAATTCTCTGACGATTTAATTCATCGCAGATTCAAATATTGCAGGGAATCTCGCAGGAATATGAAAACTGACTGAATTAATTCGCCGATTTCGTTAGAAATCCTGGAATTAAAACTGCAAACTTCGTAATCCATTTTATCGAGCTCATTTCAATTACTGCTAAGCTTTTTAATTTCCAGTTAAAAACATCAGGTGATAAATATAAATCATTCGTTCACGAATATGCGTAGATTAATTTTAAAGAAAAAAAGCAATATTAAACACCAAACTCATTAATTTTTAATGAAATTGCTCTTGCTGATTGATTTAACATTCATTTCTTTAATTTTTTAACGTCGAGTTTATCAATTCTGGTCTCTTTCTGGTTGGTTAGACGTCATCACTTTCTCTCTCATTCAATTTTTACAAAGAAAAGATTTCTTCCAAAACAGTTGTGATCGAATATTCATAAAATAACGAATTATCATTCAATAATTATGTTTGTCAAGGAATACTCTTTTCCAGATTTATCAGATCAATCGATATGATTTTTTTAATTTTGAATAATTGAAAAGTCAAACGGTTGTAATTGTATCGTAAAATGTTTCCATTATTACACAGGATATCAAAGTTTATTAATTGTTACTGCGTAAAGTTTCACAGACTGTAATTCAAATATCACAGTTTGCAACTATTAATTCCCTTAACCGTATCGCCATTCAATTTTCTTATCAATTGTTTGCTTCGTCTTTCGTTTCAGCATCTTCTTTTTTGATATTTATATTATTTGCAAAAAATATTTATAATGTTTCGATTAATTTTCTAAACAATTTTAATACAAGTTCCAATATAATTACACGATAAATTAATTAGATAACGAGTTAAACGAAATTAATTAAAATAAATAAATTACGCGACTGTGTATCGCGTAATGTATGTACCCAATATAACATTGATTTAATATTATTCAGAGCAGCCAATTTCACATATCATTTAGGCGTATCATCGATAAATATGATTCGAAATGCCTATCGATCGATCGTCTAATTTTATTCATAATTTTCCCATCAATACTTTTGAGATAACGGAATTAAGGTAAATCGATTCTTCGAGGTTAAAACGGGGAGTAGAAAAATTTCTTTTACATGATAAAATCGTTAATAACCAAAAGCGTTGTTTCACGATTAAACATTCAAATCCTTCAACGAAATTTTCCTCTTCTTCATTTCCTTCCGCCTGAATCGCCTCTTCAATTTTTAAATCAACAAAATTCTTTCAAATTCTTCCTCTTCTCGATTTTCCTTTCTCCCTATTTCCCCCTCCTATTTCAAAAAATTACTCCTCTCAATCCTCTTCTCGAATAATTTTCTCAAACGCAATCTCATCAATCCGATAATATATAAGATAAAATAAATAATTTATGTAATAAAAAAACTTCAACAGAATGAAAACCTAACCTTAAATCCAAGAACGAAACTATAAACTTTCGATATAATATTACTTACTCGCTCGCCAACGTCTCATTCCTCGACAAGCAACAAGGCGTGCCGTGCGCAAAGATTCGACAATTCCTCCTTCTCCTTCTCCTTCTCCTTCTCCTGCTCTCCTCCCGCCTCTCCCCTCCCCCCGCAACGGATTCATTTCTTAGACCGTGCGCGGTGGCGTTTTCTTTTAAAATTCAAGTCGAGCCCGAGTCGAGGCAGAAGAGATGGGAATACATCGCGAGTATGGCCGCGTTACCGAAGGAATTTATGAATCCTCCAACCCAATTTGCTTAAAAACGCGAATAAAACGCGCGTAATTCACCGCCGTGAGATTGTTATCTCTCGGATATTTTTCCACCGAGAAGGTGGATTTTGACCGAGAGTCGCGAGAATCGCTTCTCCCTTCTTTTTTTCTTTCCTTCGAGGAGAAAAGCGTTAACGGTTAGAACGCGAGGAAGGGGAAGGGCGAGGAAATTCGGGCGTAATACAATCGGACGCCTTCGATACGTTTTATTTTTTTTTATGAATTTTGTGTCGGAATTTTTATCGAAAACGATTCTAACGAAATTTTGATAATGCATAGGTGTTTTGTATTTTTTTTTATTTAAATTAATAATTTATTCACACAGATGTGAAAAATAATATAGATTGGAAGACGAGGAAAATGAGAAAATATTGTTATCATCCTCGAATACCTTCGATACTTATGTATTTATAAAAATACATAATTTATCAATAATTTGTTGGTTTTCTAGACTTATCTATCGTGATAGTAAAAATTTAAACAATTTTTTTTATCAATTTTATGGGAATAAAATAATAATTTTAATAATAACACAGTGATCATCCTTGCAACATTTATTTCGTCGTACAAATACTCGGTACAGCTTTCAAATGTAACGAGAGTGGCAGATATATATTTTTTAACGTATATGCGAGACACGATATTAGCTATTCAGAGAAAATGAGAAGGCATCGTTGAATATATCGGACTCGAGGGATAGGAAACTGAAAAGCCATTCTTCTTTTTTTCACTATTCGGATAGATTACCGGATACATGCTATGTCCTCATCCCTCTCAAGCATGCATAAAAGATTATTTCTTTCTCCGGATAAAGTCCATTCGAGCAATCGTATGCATCGTAATTTCTATTCGATTTCAACCATCTTACATATACGCTTCTTTTATGAATATATATATATATATATATATATATGCTCTACATTTTTTCCAATTTTTCTCTTTTTTCTTTTTTTTTACGCGAATAAAATATTTCGAGATAGGAATTTTAATAATATCTGTAAATCGTTAACGACCTTACAGGAATTGATTTTATCGGTAGATACATAGATCAAATTAAATTTTTCTATTTTTATTCTTTTTAAATTCGATTGATTCATTTTTGTTTCGTGTATTTTTAGAAATTTATGTTAAAAATGAATTTAAGAATTCGTATAAATTAATAATTTAGAAAAAGTATCGCGTTAATGTAATGTTTCCTTTTATTATTTGTTTTATATCCCCGATTGCTCGAGTTGTTTTTAATAGTACAGATCAATCATTGAAATTAATGCGCATAAATTGCAGTAAAGTGCGTTTCGAAACGGTCATCTCTTCTGTTGGCACATAATCTGCGAAATGTCGATCCATTATATCTTTATATCTATTGTACTTTATATCGTATAACGTACAAGATATAAATTATTTTTAGATTTTTTTTTTTTTTTGCTAAAATATCATGAAAATTATAGTTACATTAATTTTTAACGATTAATAAAAATATATTTGTAAGAGAAATTGTATATAAAGTCTTCCATTTAAACAAACTTCCATATTGTCTGAACATCGAGCAACAAAATGTTTGACATTTTTAACAGAACCTTTTGAAGAACTCGCAGTTTATCTTCGCGTTACGCTCGAAACGTAATATCTCTTTTCCTTTTTATGCGCGAAACCTTGCAATTTGCATTAATTTCAAGGTATTTCGAGGATAGAGCACTTCCTCGGAAAAAAAGAAAAGGCGAGACCTTATTTCGAATTCGTTCGATCGTTCGAGCTTCTAAGGGAATTAGCAACGTCACTACTGACGAATGAAAATTGCTTTGATAACAAAGAAGGAAAAGGAAACTTTATATTTTGTTAAACGAAGTACATTCACTTTCGCTCTATGAGAAAATTCAATTATTTTCTTACTATCGTTTCGAGAACGAAGAGAATTTAACAATTTAAGATTCGTTATTTTATTCTGTTTATTGTTCTTTTTTTTTTTTTTGCAAAATGAAGCTTTTTGAGAAGAAACTTGTTACATTACATCTGTATTAAAAATTCAAATTTTATGGAACGATAGAACATGGATCTATTGTTAGTTTTTATAGTTCAAAGGAGAAGATAAAAATGGAAAATTTAGGAATTTTTGGGGAATTAATATTTTATTGTTCAAATATCGCGCTCTTTTATTCTGAATGCAATGTCCATTGGCGAAGATCGATTAATGAATAATTAACAAATTAGCTACAATTCGTATGTTGATCACCACGTGGTCTTTCACCAAGAAACATTGATCTAACCTAAATCCCTCTCACCAAATCTTTCACACGTTTCCACGAACGAAAAACTTATAATCTACTTAACAAACGCACCTACGTTTCCACTTACACATTTAAAATTACACATTTTAAGAGAAAAAACGAAAACTTCCACTTTCCACGCGAAAGAAGACTGTTCGCAGCGAACAGTCGCCCGTTTCTACAAACATTTCTCTTAATCTAACTCTCTATACGCTCGACAATTGGATTCGATAGATGGCGCTGCGTGTGCATGCGGGCGCACGAAAAAGCCGACCGATCCCGCCATTGGACAATGGGCGTCCATTGCTCATTAACGTTTTTCCCAGGGATCTTGTTACCAGTCCACCGTGAAAAAAGCTTTTCCGATCCGCTTTTTAGCTCGAGCCGCGTCAGCAGAGCCTCTCCTTTTTGTACGTAGAATCGTTAAAGGGAGTTGGAAGCACCGGGACGCAATCATAGGGGAT